ATTGTAAGCTGATGTGGATGTTATTTAGTCTCCATAATTTAGCCGTAATTACAACTTACTGTTTCCTTCACAAAGAATCCGCGCGGAATGAAGCCTGGTCGGCTTGAGTCCAGCCCTTCGCTAACCAAGGTTGCCGGCTGAGGGTACGCAAAAGCTGCTTGAGGATAAATACGTCTGGTATTCCCCAGCTCAATTTGCTGCTGTCAACAACCGCGTCCCACCACACACACACACCACTCACAAACCCACCCAACGGGTCATCGAACATCCACAATGTCTCGAAGCGAAGGAGCTACGATCAGTGCAGCTCCACGAGCTTTGTTTCATTCAGTCGGGACCTTCATCTTTATTTACACCATCATCCTGCTCTGCAGCGACATCCCGGTCCCCGAGTACAAGACAGCCGTCGTCCTTCTGCTTGTCAGCGTAAGTCCACTCTCCCGCCTCGCCCTTGCCTCCCTTTTCTTCCAGCGCACATGCAAGTTGCTCCAATAGTGTTAACTAAAACGTGCCCACTACAGTACCTGGTCAACTCCTTGATCCTGTTCCCCCTCTCCTTGATCCCGGTCCCGCTGATCGGCTTCTCCGCCGCGTTCGCCTCCGTCGCCCTCTCCGTCGCCACCTTGGCCGTCGTGGTCGTCCGATGGAACCTGGCGCTCGCGACCGCTGACCAGTGGGCTGTCCCGCACAACATCGACCCCAGCCTCATCCCCGAGGACGCCAACCCGAACCTCTGGAAGCTAGTCCGCAATAAGCAGTACGGCATCGGGGTTACCGTCGGCGCCGCCCTAGATTTGTAAGTTTTGATCCTACGCAACCCCCCTCCCCTCCAGCTAGCGAAAACCAGACATGAACGTACACTTCTAACCAGTGAGCTTTTTACTTTTATAGGGTCGGAAACCTTCTTGGCGCCATCATCGTATGCATTGTTCAGTTCGCCTATACGCGTGACTGATTAGGGGTATGGTTGGGCACTTCAGCCTGCCCACAAGTTGGACCGTCCTGGCGGGCCGTGTACTCAAAGCGAGCTCTGCCCTTGCTGATACTTCCTTACGGTCCACATTGCGCGCGGCCTCGCCTCCAACAAAATATCTCTCGAAGAAGATATTTGTGCCAGGATGAAATGATGGGAACGATGGGTTGTTTTTAGATGGGTTTTCTTTTTAGGTAGCCGAAAGTTGAAGCTTTTTAAAATGCACCAGAAATGGGCCGCGTTCCGGGAGCCGAACTTGGCGGCTGCGTTGATGGCTGCGATTGTCCTTTCACTTTGATGTAGTGGCTATATACTTAATGGCGTGACTTTAGAGCCTAGGACGACTCCTCCTTCAGGAATTACCTGGAGGTACTGAGGGCACAGAACCATGTGTAGGGGATCAAGCCCTGACAGACAGCCTGTATATAACCTACTATAAGCCAAAGCACCCCATTTCCGCCAGCCCCCCTTGTCCGCCACCCCGCCAGCCCCACGCCCCCGAATCGTCGCGCGTACTTTAATTCTACAGGATTCCATCTTTTTACTGCATTTGAACGCTGGGATGCCCGAAAAACAATGAAGGGGATTGATGCGTTGCACCAGAGCCCTCGTGCAGGGTTTTCACCCGGGCGGCCAGGCACGGGCCTTACAGGCACGGCCACGGCCCACAGGCATAGGCCCTCAGCCACCGTGGCTCAGCGACTCCCAAGGCGCCACGCCACCACAGCAGGCAAAGAACCCTATCAGCGGCTAGGCCCGGCCCAGGAGAAGGACACTTGGCCTTGTAGATTTTGAACCTGGAGTTGCAGCTTAATTTGTTCGGTGATGGCGCTGGTTGGCCCGTTGGTTTCCCCTGAAGCCTTTTAGAACGACGGAATGGTTTCCATTAATTCATGCTGGGCCTCCGAAGACGCTGCTAGTCGGCTAGTCAAAAATTGAACAGAAAAAATACTGGGGCAAAACAAACCTATTTTCGAATGCCTCGCCCTTCCAGGCTGAGCCGAACGGTGGATATGTGCTCCTCCAGATTTTGGTAAGTGCTTTAATAGGGAAGCTCCCACTGAAGGAGGCGTGGTCCGTCGGCCTTGCCCTCGCCTTGGTCAAAACCATTCCGAGTTCTCATTAGAAATCGCTGGGCTGTTACGACGTGGCATTTGAGCCCTCGACTTGTGCAGAACGTATGTGAACATTAAGCTAGGGAGGAGAAGAAAGGTTGAAGGAGAGGTGTGGCCTTCGGCCACACCTTTATCCTGTCAGTCCTTCCTTATCTAATCTCCAGCCAATCGGCTATCAACTCTACCAACTACCACTGACGACGCCGTGCCATAACATGGGCGAGCTCGTCGCTAAGGTTCAAAGCCTCGCTCGATTACTGGACCCGGCACAGCCAGGATGGAACACTATCCTAGTGAGTTGGCCGTGTTGAGCTGGGTTTCATAGGTTTCCAAAATCCAGTCCAAGAACTCGTCCCAGAGCTTTTCCCACTCGTCATAGACCTTGTTGTACTCTTTCTTGTCTAGACGGGCATGCTCCAAGCTCCACTCAATCAGCTGGCGCCATCCATGGAGGGTGAAGTCGTCCCTGCCGACGAAAACTTGGTAAAAGTCGTGGGATAGTGACGACCTGACGGGAGCCCGGTTAGACAACGCAAGCCGCTGAAGCCACAAGGAAATGAAGGGAATGTACCTGAAAAGCGTTCCGTTGTCGCTGTTGACTGTGCAATGCACATTATTTGCCAGGAGGTTGTACATGGCATGGCCGCCGATTCTCGGTGTAAGGCCTAAGATTTCGTTGGAAATGGGGCAAACCTCGAGGCATATGTTCTGCTTCTTCATCCTTTCCATGATGTATGGGTGCCTCGAAAGTGAGAATCCGTGCCCGATCCGCTTTGAGCCGAGCAGGAGCGCGTCCACGACGTTGCCGTCTGTGTCGGTCCCCATCTCCAGTGTCTCTCCGCAGTGGAACA